AAAAATCCCAGAGCCATGCTTTGTGATCTGCTGGCCAGAATTCATCAGCAGTTGGGAAGCAGGGAGAGGTGGGTGCTGATGGTCAGCAGTTTCTCTTATTTACCTGTTAGAATTCAGTCGAGAACCTCAGCCCACAGCACGGTTGCCGACCATGTTCTGGGTGAGTTTTCACTTGTCGGTTAATCCTCCCTGGAAATGTCTGCACCGACATATGACAAATGTTGCCTCCCTAGAGCCCATCCAGTCAAGTTGAAAGTGAATGTTCACCATCCCAAGATACTAGTAAATACAAAGGCCTTAGGAAACTTTATTTCCACTCACTCCTATCTACACTTAGTGCTTTCGTGTATTTCAGTTCTATGGATATTTTATTTCCTAGATGGCATGATTTCCATGACTTGTTATTCATTCTGGTTTTCTTCCTCATTTCCTTTCACTATCCTTCATTTCTCTGGGCATCTTCCTTCATCTGGAGATCTTATTTTCATTTAAAAACTTTTTTTCCATATTCCTTGAAAAAGATCTTCCTTCTTTCTCCTTCCTTCTTCCTTTCCCCCTCTTTCTTTCTTTTGACCTTTTCTTGGAAGGTACTTGTCAAAGCCAGACAGTGCTTGATAATTTTTATGTTATTCACTTTACTGTGTTTTACATGTTTTGCTTCGGGATTTTTGTAAGACTCTGTATGGTATCTTATTGTTAGACCTTATCGTTTCAGGGAGCATGTCTGTATAACAAAGCACATACACATCAAGGGATTCCAACAACCATCTACTTTTCTTGCTTCTGTATGTTGATGATTTGGGTTTTGTATAGTGGAGAAGGTTCTCTGCTTTGAGTCAGGCTTGGTTAACTTTGGTTGGGGCTCACTCATTTTTGTACAGCAATTTCCTCCAAGTTGCAATATTCCATATTGATAGGAGGTTCAGGAGATTTTATATATATATATATATATATATATATATATATATATATGTCTTACATATATATATGCCTTACATATATATATATGCCTTACAGTATGTAAGACATATATATATATGTCTTACAGTAACAGTCTCCAATATTTTTGAAGTCTCTTGGATATCCCTACCAACAACTCACAAGAATGCTTCTCATGCTTCCCACAGAGAAGCATAGCAGTCTTCACCCTCATTAAGGAAACATGTACAGTGACCGTTTCAGAAAACCACAACTGATCAAGATGCAGAGTTGTGGAGCCCAGTACCAACAGATCTACAACACAACTCCTGCACCTAAGATTAAGGGATCATTGTGGAAATGGGGGCTGAGAGATTGTAAGAGCCAGAGCAGCTGGGAGTTTCGGTGAGGTTGTGTCTCCTGGAAGTGTCAGAAGCTACTTCCATAAGTCTCACCAACCCGACTTCCTAAACATGAAAAAGATGGCTTGAACAAGGGAAGCACTAAGACATACTAATGTGGAAAGGGAAACGCTCATGAGGCAGTGACCCTAGACAGAGAATGTTAGGTAACTTAAGACCTCTGGAAGCAAGAAAGGCAGGCTCCTTCAGGTAAGAGCACAATTGGTTATCCAACACAAAATTTCAGTCCTGAAATTACGCACACACACACGTAACACTTTCCAGAACGAGTAGATTGTATTAATGTATTTTATGTATTTAGAAAGGTCTCTCCATGCCCCCCCCCCCCCCGCCACACATGTAACAACAATTAAAGAAAAACAAGTGATGAATTTGAAAGGAATCAAGGGGGCGGGCCAGTACATAGTAGGTTTTGGAGGGAAGAAAGGGGAGGGGGAAATGGTCTAATTATATTCTCATATCAAAAAAAGAAAACATTTAAAATAAAACCTTTACAGATTCCACGAGAAATAAAACTTACAGGATTCCCAAAGCCCATCCACAAGATTACAAACACACTAAAAACATCTGGGACGAGAGACTCTGACTAGCTAAGCTATCTAGAGGAGACTCCCATGAGCTGAGCTGCCTAGAAAACATTCCTCTACCTGTTGGGCTATGTAAGTACAACATTTACAGAGTCTCAGGGTTCCAGGCTTCGTGAGTTATCAAATCCCCATCATGCTGGAGTGAAGCAGCTGTATTGGAATCATCACTGCTTCTGTAAGTAACTTTTCACCCATATTCCTGGAAACAACATCAACAAACTCACCCCGTTGGACGCTGGTGCAATCGTTACTTTTATCAGTCATTGGTTTATTCTCTGGGGTGAATTGATATGTGTTTCATGCTTCCCCAGGAAAAGTGTCATGTGAAACTTGTATATCTGGTTCTGGCTGTTGGGAGGGTTGGGAACCAGCTGAGGAGCTATTTTAGAATGAGTAGTTGAAGTCCTAATGTGCGTAAATGCTGCCAAAAAAAATCTTTAGGGAGCAGAAAAGGATGCAGCAAATTGCAGTGTTGTATCTTAAGGGACTTTTGCAGCCATCTTATCCTTCAGTAACTAGCACCCTGATCCACCAGCTACCATTAATCTTCATGAGAAACTCTCCACCAACAAACTCATTAGAATTCACTGAAGGCTCCCGAAAGCTCAAGTGATCTTTGGCATCTCATTGTTCATAAAATAAAGTATTTTAATATACACATTTTGAGCACATTAGCCTCTCAGAGTTAATATTCTACAAAAGTGTAAATATAACGCTATAAGCAGAAGCAATCTAACAAACTCACGTGACTCATTTTCTTTTGATATTTACTTTATTGGGGGTGTGGCAGTGAATTTGCAATATCCCCTAGCTATCCCGAAAGTCATATAGACCTGCTCAGCTCATCATTCACTCTTTAGTTAAAAATTGTGGACTTTCTAACAGTTATAGTTTTATCCAGTGGAAATAACAATAATTTTATTTTTTCCCTTCACAGTCAAATTTCCTTTTTATTGCCTAATTAAACCAGAGTGTTGGGTAAAAGTGGGGAGATAATGGGAATTCTGGTTCTTTTCCCAATTACCCCAAGTTGTTTTTGTTGTTAACATTTGATCATTTAGCATGACAATTTTTCTGGTAGGTATTTTCTGAAAGAGTAAGAAATCACACTCTTAATATGGTATGAGTTTCAATTTTTTTTTATTATTTTTTAATTTGTGTGTATACATGTGTGTGCGTGCACGCATGCTGTTGTGTGTAAATACAGACACTTGAAGTGTGGGTGTGGAAGTCAGAGGTAGTTCTCAGAATCTATTCTCACCTGTCACTGTGGGATCCTGGGGTTGGTCTCAGAGTCTCAGGTCTATCAGTGTCTCTTGCCACCGAGACATCTTGCTGACCTTGGTATAAGTTTTTAGTGCATCTGCTGTTGTTACTAAGAATTGAAGTTGATCAGGGAAGATGGCAGTTTAGAAGCCATGCTAGAACTAGCAAATGATTACAGGTGGAGAAACAAAGGGAACAGGAATATTTCATCACTCCATCCGCTGCTTCTCCAGTCCCTAGGATATAATTACTCAACAACCCAATATCCATGGTTTCAGTGCTCGTTGCCAACAATAGTCTGAAAATATTTAATGGAAAAATCCAAGATATAAGTCATTCATAAGTTCTAAGTTAGTGTCATTTTAAGTAGCATGATAAAATACTGTGCCTTTTGATTCTTTCTCACTTGAGACATGAATAACTTTGTCCAACATGTCCATATTGGATATGCGACCCACTAATTAGCGTCTTGGCTGTCAGACTGACAGTCATGGCATCTGGATTCTTGTGTTCATGTAACACTTATTTAAAGTTTTTATTTGAGAAAAAAATCAGGGTGGCTGGATATTTCCATGTCTTTTCATCTAGTCCTCAATTTCTTTTGTGTGGTTATATTTGTAGATTTTTCTGTTCTGTAACTTCTAATTCCACTCATAAAGGAAAGTATTTAAAACTACATATTATTTATATTAGAATTTTTACTAAAAAATTAAGGAAACCAAGGTCTCCATTTCACATTTAGTTTAATTATTTTTTCAATTATCATATGGAGACATAGCATTGTAGACTTATTTAAAGCTACCTATAGAACATAAATTTTTAAGTAAATGTTTAACATGATGCAATGATATTTCAGTTTTATGTAATATTTGATTTTAAGTACATTTATAGTTAATTTGAAAAAATTTAATTCAAAGTATAACATACATTGATGTCTGTGAGCACAAAATAATAATTATCCGTAAATAAGAAGGTTTTTTTTTTTTGTTTTTGTTTTTTTTTTTTTTTTGGTTTTTCGAGACAGGGTTTCTCTGTGTAGCTTTGCGTCTTTCCTGGATCTCGCTCTGTAGACCAGGCTGGCCTCAAACTCACAGAGATCCGCCTGCCTCTGCCTCCCGATTGCTGGGATTAAAGGCGTGCACCACTGCCGCCCGGCCATAAATAAGAAGTTTAAGTAAAACGTCACATTATAGGGAGGAAAGATGTAAGACACACTACACATACCTGCAGTACTTGCTGACTGGTCACTATTAGAATATGCAAAGGTGTTTATGTCTAATTGTAACTCATTTCTACTAGATGTTCACAAATACTGGTTTCCTGCTACATGTCCATATTTCGGGTGAAACTTCAGACTAGTCATTCCTATTCAAGTTTCTCCTTAAAATTTAAGTGGTTAGGTCTTTATGGAAGAGTTAAAATAATGCAAAATATGCTTATAGTGCAGTATTTGGGAAGTACTCATCAATTTCAAATAGGTGGATTTTGTTCCAAGCTGAGAAGCCTAGACTTTTTCAGGCACAGTGAATCACTTACACAGCATTTCTTTGAGAAACTGACTGATGTGAAAATCATGTACTTTCACTTTTACTAGTATCATTTACTGCTTACAAATAGCATTACTCAGAGTGGGTGTATTTAAAGATCTTTAAATATTGGACAACAAAGAAAGCAAAGCAGAATTATTTCTCACTTTGTGTTATTAATATGAGTATATGTACAAAAACATTTTTAGTTTGGGATATAACAGAATTGGTTTTATCATCTCACTAGATGTACATATAAAAGACTAGGTAATTTATGTGAATTGGAATAAAAGAGTTTTATTGAAAGATAGGCACTTTTGAAATTAGTACAAACCAACAAAGAAATAATCAATAAAAATACATTGAATCATTTCTTAATAAGCATATACAATACATATAAAACTTTACAATTTCCTCCTTTATTGCTATAACTGTTGTTGAAAGTTTCATTCCTGAGGTTTATGGAATCCATTAAATTTCTAAAATTAGGAAGGAAAACAAAAACCATCTTCCTTGGTTTGAGGCTGAAGTGTGAATCTTCAGTGTTAGTAAAAATATCATTTTCCCATACATCAGACATTTTATTTGGACATGGTCCCACTGGAATTCATTCCCTAACTACTGACCCGCACACATACCATATCTTCAAAGAGTTGAAATGTTTAGCTTGTAGATCATGTACAAGCTGCTATTACTAAGTATTTCCATTGCAAAGTAGCCTCCCCCTCTTGAAGTGCAAACATATAAAGTGAATCATTTAAGATCTGTTTTGATTTAAATAACAATTCAAGTATCTCCTCTCTGAAAACCATTAATATTTATGAGCCACAGTGATAAATATGCTTTCTGAAAGGCAGAATATCTCTTGAATATCCTGTGTTTTGCCCTTAGATTATGTAGGTTATAACCCAGTTTTGGCTTGCACTGTATTTTTGCTAGCTTATTGTACATCTTTATCTATACATTTAACTGATCATTTAGAAAAATATTAACATCAGACACAGACAGGTAGGTTTCATACTACACAGCATTTCATTTTAAAAGCTATATTAATAAAGATGCAGTCTGAGTGAGTCCCTTGTGCTTAATTTCAGTGATGGTCAATGCTTAAGATGTTCATGGAGCTTTTACAAAAGATGGAGTGATGTCATAATCTTGAAAATGAATTCCTTTAGATGCTGTGATCTTCATGATGGCACCATTGAGAGCGTCATCTTCAATGAGTGTTATTAATCCATTGGCGATGATTGATGGGCTAAAAATGAAGGAAACATTTGTATTTTGAAAATAAATGGAACTAAATAACATCACAATATTTTCTTAAGCAGCTGCATGCTTATCATAGGGAAATACAATTCATTAAGCTATTGTTACCTTCAATTTTTATTCATTGAGATGTTAAGTAAATTATATAATAAATTTAGTGCTCATTGGGCAATGCATTTGAAGTCATTAATCATATTGCTAAAAATATTCACTTTCTCATCTAGACCAGATCAGTAGATATCTGACTTACTAGACAGAAACTCCACTGGAGGAAAAATAGAATCAATTAATAGCATTTATTGAAGATCATTTTTACCAAGTGCCATTTTAACTACATTCCATGATGTATATCATCTTATTGGTCTGCCAAAGATTCCTAAATTTGTTATACTATGCCTTTACATGTGAGAAAACTGATACTTTCTGAAGTTTGGTGAAGAAGTTCATGGTCAGTGGTGGAGTTAAAGCTGAGATTCAATCGTAGCTCTGACTCCTTCAACACCACAGCTATAATTCTGTGCTGAGAAAAACTCATCTAACTCATCTTGCAAAAGTCTCACATACTTTTTTTTTTTTTAAATGAAGGATACCCTTATGCCATGGCAGTATATTTGGATTTTATTATTTATTTTTTGTGAAAATTTTATTGCAAATAGACTCTTTTTCCTGTATGATATTCTGATTATGGCTTCCCCTCCCCCCGCTGCTCCAGTATCTCCTCACTTCCCCACTCACTCAAACCCACATCTTTCCTTTTTCTACCACACTAGAATACAACTAAAATAGGGATAGTAAAAATAATGATGATAAAACAAAATTAAACAAGATAAAAACAAACCAATAAAAGAAAAACAGCCAAAGAAAAAGCTCAAGAAATACGTATAGACACAGAGACACATCCAGAAATCCCATAAGAATCCAAAATAACGCTTTTTAAAAAAAAAAAGTCCTGGAAAGGCATTATGAGACAACCTCTAAAAATGCCGTTGAGTTTGTGCTGTCTGTCTACCATGGGGTATAGGATCTGGCCTTAGGAGTGGTTTGTATGTCCAGTGAGAGTCCACTGGAGAAAACTATTTTTTCATTTTCCAGTGGCTCTCAATTGCAGACAGCTTCTGGGCTAGGGATGGGGGCATGTGTCTGCTTTCCGTCTCAGTGCTCAGACCTGTTCAGGCCCTGTGCATGTTGCCACAGTCTCTGTGAGTTCATATTTGTGTCGGTCCATCTATTCTAACTTAGACACAGTTCTTTGATTGTGTGCCCAAGTGTGTGTCCGTGTTCATGTGTGTGTGTGTGTGTGTGTGTGTGTGTGTGTGTGTGAGGTCTGTGTCCATGTCCGTGTCCGTGTCCGTGTGTGTATGTGTGTGTGTGTGAGAGAGGGGGGGAGGGAGGGGGAGGGAGGGAGAGAGAGAGAGAGAGAGAGAGAGAGAGAGAGAGAGAGAGAGAGAGAGAGAGAGAGAGAGAGAGGATCAATTGTTTTTATGAAAGTGGTTGAAATTTTGGAGTCATATAACTATACAACATTACACACGGGTTTTACTTGATTTTTGCTTGAAGTTGAAGTTTAGGCAAGTAAGGTATAATTGCCGTGAAAAGCTAACAAATATCATTTAGATAAGAAATCTGATAAAGGCTGAAGGCTGTTTTCAAAGCAAAATTCGTAATGTTTAACCACAGTTCTATTCCTCCTGCCTGTTTTTCCTGTCAAAAGTTTGTCAACCCAAACCTTGAGATTTGTATCACTTTCTAAAATTTAAAACTTTAAAAAGATTGCTTGTGTAGATAATGCTTTGATCCACTGTGAAAAGAAAGAGATTTACTTACTCCAGGATTCCATAGAATTTCATCATCGCCTTGATCTGATCCTTATACTCTATATACTGGCCCATGTTTTCTTCTTTTTCAATGGACTCAAGGATGGGTGTGTTGACAAAGCCTGGACAAATAGCGTTCAGTCTTACTCCACTCTTCATAAGGTTGGCAGCCATCTGCCAATCAGAACACAGTTGAGGGCTTCAGGAGCTTTATAAAAGTACAGTACAGGACACTGAAACTAACAGTTCCTTATAATCCTCACGGAAAGCACACTCACTAGATAGGCTCTGAGATATGGAATAATTACCAGTGGGCATATAAGGTATAAACACACAGAATTCATTCATGAAAGCTCCAGTGCATTCACTCTTTTAAAAGTACCAACACTGGAAAACTCCTAAGATTACAGAATTATCCAAGCTGCTCTTCTCTACTGAACTCTTTAGGGACCTGAAGTCAAGCAACTGAGGCTTTTTTTTTTTTTTTTTTTGGAGGGGGGCAAACATCATAATAAAAGTTCTACTACTTATGAATTCAATATTGTCACACTATGTAAACATTACTTTTCATTATACAGAAATACACATAAAACAAGGTTGAATACTGGGGGGGCCGACCAAAATGTTTTCAACTCAGGCTTTTCAGTAACTTCTCCTTTTGTTTCTTCCAGAAATGATGACTCAATATTTACTAATTCAGCATCTGCAAGTAACTTCCTAACTGCTGTGAACCATGAGAATCAACTATAGAAATAGTCAGTCATACATTTAAATGTGAAATATCTGCTTGGTAATGGTTTATCTTCTTCTAAAACACTGAAATATTGTCTTTTTTTAAGATTTATTTATTGATTACATATACAGAAGAGGGAGCCAGATCTCATTACAGATGGTTGTGAGCCACCATGTGGGTGCTGGGAATCGAACTGAGGACCTCTGGAAGAGCAGTCAGTGCTCTTAACCTCTGAGCCATCTCTCCAGCCCCTGAAATATTTTCAAATTAAGTACTGAGGTCTATTCAACCCAAATTAAGAGTAAAGACTACTTTCCTTCTCAAGAATGATTAACCCTGGTGCTTCTGCTTATGATTTCTCCTTGTTAATGTGAAACTTCATCTTTCTGGTCCTTTCATCCTATCCAGTACTACTCAGAGACTTCCCAACTGTCCTTTTCTGCTGTCTGTGCTTCATAATACATTTTCCAAAGAGCAGGCAAAATTCTATTTGAGTGTTCTATTTAAGGACTCCTGACATTAATATTGTAGAAACTGTGCACAATTTTAAAAACAAAGAGTATTTCTCTATTATTTAAAATATTCATTAGTGTCACCTAATGACAGTGATATATTCTTTGTTTAGTCTTCTACATGATCGAAAATGTTTTCACCATAAGGATTTAAGTGGGATGTCTCCTCCATCTTTTGGCTAGATTTTTTTTTAATTTGTATTTCTTTTCTTATAGTCTATAAAATTTGGGTTTCATCTATGAGCACAAGGAGGAAGAGAGTCTGTGGTTCTGATTTCCTTACCGCTGCCGAGCGTGTGAATCCGATTATGCCGTGCTTGGAGGCACAATAAACAGGTTGTTGTGCAACAGGCATAAGTCCTGAAAGAAAGGAAGAAAAAGTCTAAAACAGTTGAAGTTCTCAAAAGTGGACTATCTTATAAAGACTGTACAAAGGATGGCTTTTGGTCACAGCACTTTAAGATTCATCCGGAAAGTACACTGGGGCGAAACCAGACCCCCAGGTGCAACAGCAGAACCCCAAACAACCCCAAACAAACAACCATCCCACAGAACCTATTGGACTTGAGTGACTGTTGCTGCCAAGCTTATTTCTCACGTCAGTCCAAACTTAACAGTCGGATTTAACTACTCATTTATATATTTTCATGACTGATGAGTTTCTTCCACTAACTTTATTTTCCTTTTGAGACAGAGTCTCACTATATATCTCAGGCTGTCTTTGAACTTGTAATCCTCCTGTTTTAGCCTTCCAAGTACCAGGATTATGGGTGTGTACCACTTTGCCTGACTCAGGTGATCCAGTTTTAACAATTCTTTTTCAATATGTAATTCCTCTCAGTCAGGAAGTAGTGACTGGCCCCTGGTTACTGTGAGATTCATTCACATCAAGTGTCATATTCGTGTTAAATTATTCTGCTGATATGTGCCAGTCTCCACCCAGCTAACTAGTCACACAACATCACCACCACATGGTTGAAAGTGTCATGCCAAAGTTCAGCAATAAAGTCAGACCTTAACCACTCCCTGGGTGCCTTCCAGGCTTCCATTTATGAAGCATGTTTGCCCAAGAGCAGTTTAAATCCCTGAAGAGGGTAGATCACACTTAGTACACAGTGATCTCAAGGTACTAGAACATGTTGGTCCTCTTGTTGTTTTGAGTCAGTAAAATGTGCAAGAATTTACAGTGTCTCCACAGGGTACATAGGGATGTCAGACGTGTAAGATAAAGAGAACAAGGGAGTGTAGCCAGATGGTACTGCTTTTGTCCCTGTGTCATCTATTTGTTACAGGTATATGGGACAAAGGTAGTGTTTGCACGATGGTCTTCACATCCTGCGCAAATAACAAAAGGTACGTCTTGAATCACAGATAAGCTAACTGACACAGCCACAGAAATGACAAGAATACTGTTCATAAATATTATCAAAGGTGATGACTGAATGAATTTTTGTTACCTAGATAATAGAGTGGACAAACTTACGATCTCTAGTTATTTCAAGGGGTCACACGTGAGAAATATATAAACTAGTTTTTTTTGGCTGTGGTCATGAGCAAGCACACACACTATATATATATATATGCCATTTCTTTAGAAGTAGAATTGCATACAAACAAAAACCAACCCAACCAACTAACCCACCAACCAGCCAACAAACCAACCAACCAAGCAAACAAAAACCAAGGTCTCACTATATACTCCAGACTGGTCTCAAGTTTTCTATGTAACATAAGCTGGCCTTGAACTCTCAATCCTTCTGTCTCAATCCTGCAAGTGCTTGGATTAAAAGCAGGAGCTACCGTATCCCAGTGACTTTGTTCCCATTAAAAAAACAGCATTGGGTTTTATGAACTTTATTTTAACATTGTAAGTTTTCACTGTATTTAAATTTTTATAGCTTTGCTGAGTTGTAATTGATATAAAAAAACAGCATATTCTTTTTATTTATTTATTTTTTAAAAATTTTTCTTTATTAAGAAATTTTCTACTCACTCCTCATGCTATCCACAGAGCCCTTCTCCTCCCTCCTCCCACTCCCAGCCCTCTTTCCCAAGCCACCCTGCATCCCCACATCCCCCAAATCGAGTTCTCCCATGGGGAGTCAGCAGAGCCCAGCACACTGAGCCCAGGCAGGTCCAAACCCCTTCTCACTGCACCTAGGCTGTGCAAGGTTTCTCACCACAGGCACTGGATTCCCAGAAGCCTGCCCATGCACCAGGGACAGATCCTGATCCCCCTGCCTGGGTGCCCCCCAAACAGTTCGAGCCAAACAACCGTCTTCCGTGTCCAGAGGGCTTAGTCCAGTCCCATGGGGGCTCCACAGCCACCAGTCCACAGTTCATGGAAAAAACAGCATATTCTTAAGGTGCATAATTTTATAAGTTTTGACATATGTATAAACAACTGATGTTATGAGCATAAACTATGAAGCTATAAGCATATGACAACAAACAAGTCCATCACCTTATGATTCTTTCCTTCTGCCCTTCGTCCTCCACCCAAGAAACTACTGATATGTTTTGTTAGTGTTTGCATTTTCTAGAATTTTATGCATATGTAATCAATGAATTTTTTGGGGGGGTTTGGTTCTTTCATTTGTGATAACTATGTTGGGATTCATTCATCAGTATCTTATTGATATTATCATCATTACTATTATTGTTCTGCTAAACAGCAATCCACTGAATGATATAGCATTTATCTATACAATGCATTCACTTTGCAATAGATATTTGGGCTGTTTCCAGTTTTGTGGTATTAAAATTCAAAATAAAGAGGACTCTACCCACCGGTTAGGCATTTGGTCAAATTCTAGATGATTTGGTTAAATGGAGATTTTTTTTTCATCTCACAGAGGGTGTTGATTTCATTTATCGCCTCACAGACTTTGAATGGGTAGGGTGGATTATTGATCTGCAGTGCTTCTTGTACTAGGGTGGGTATAATGTGACTTTGGGACCCCATTCAAATGGCAGTTTAAGTGTCTGTCTTCCTTTGGCTCAATCTCTTCCTCTGTAGTAGCAAATACAGCTACGCTTTGGAAGCATTGGCTTCTCTCCTTGGCTAGACCTGTAAGCATGCCGAACAACTCTAGACTTGTCACCGACCCTCTGGTTTCTGTATGTTCCTGTTCTGGATGACTTTATCTGGTGAACATAGTTTCCTGGTTCCTCTCTTTTTGTGTCATGTGCGCACACACAGATGGGGCCGATTTTTCTCAAGGTTGAACTCCAACTTCTCAGCAAGAACCCCTCATCTGCTATTTGTTCCTGACATGGAGCTTTGTTTTAGTCACAGCCACCTCTCCTGACAATCTTCTTTACTTAAATTATGTGGATACTAATTCCAACATTGGGGCTGCACTGAATTCATTTCCAGTACACACACACACACACACACACACACACACACACACACACGAGTAAGATTAAGCACAAAGGCAAACATATGTAAATTAAAATGCATATAACCAATGGGTGGACTAGTACTATATAAAATATCACTTATAAGCACTGTTTTAGTATTTAAATATGACCGCTTTGCTTTTTTTCTCCAAGAAACTAACAACTTTCACACAGACTGGGAGAAAATACTTCTAAAAGTTATATGTCATAAAGGACTGCTAACGAAATATACCTATCAAATTTTAAAACTCAACAGAAAAGAAATAAAAACTTTTTAATACAGATAAAACTACCTCTCTGAAGAAGATACTACATATGACAAAGAGGTATATGAAAATATGCTCTCTGGGTGGTGGTGGCGCACACCTTTAATCGCGGCATTTGGGAGGCAGGCGGATCTTTATGAGTTTGAGGCCAGCCTGGTCTATAGAGCAAGATCCAGGAAAGGCTCCAAAGCTACACAGAGAAACCCTGACTCAAAAAACAAACAAACAAAAAACAATAATAAAGAGAGAGAAAGAAAATATGCTCAACCTCATTGTGTCCTCATGAAATTTCAAACTAAAACGAGGTACCCCTTCATCTTTTACTGCTGTTTTTGGTCCTCTTTGTACCCACTGTTCCTGGACAACATACTCTCAATTCCTCTCTCTTTGTCACAGGCACACAGGCAGTCACAAATTATTTTCATACTTCAATTCTAGTTCACTAGCCGGAACTAATTAGAATAGCCCAAATCCAGACACTGAGAGTCGCAAATGCTAGTGAAATAGAACAATAGGAATTCCGAGTCATTGCTGGTGGGAATGCAAAATGGCACAGGCCCCATGGAGTCAGCCTGGCAGTGTTTGACAAAAATGTCTTTTTACAACACGACTCAGCAATTGTGCTCCTTGGCACTAACCCAAAGTAATTGAATACGTATGTCCTCACAAAAACCTGAGCGTGGATGCTTCCAGTGGTCTTGTGTGTAACTGCCCAAAGTTGGAGTCAAGTGAGATGTCTTTCTATGAGTAAAGGAATAAAATAGTACACTGTACTTAGCACTAAAAATAAATGAAATATCAAGCCATGAACAGATGAGGCAGAAACTAAATTTTTTATTGTGAAGAAACAAAGCTGAGCTGCAAAAATGACATATGGTAGGATTCAAGCCATGACTTCCTAAAAAAGGCAAAGCTGTGGAGACAGGGGAAAGATGTGTGTTTGCCAGGGCTGCATAGGGGAGAAATGAACTGGTAGAGCAGGGGGTTATCAGAGCATGCAGACAGGGCAGCATGCACAATAAGATAGCTGCCAATTTGAGTCAGTGTCGTCTGTTCACGTCTACACCAAGAGTGGACCTTATGAGGAAGTCACAGCACCATGCCTACCTTCATGATCAAGGGAATGCTAAATTTCAGTGAGGCTTGGTGAATAAAGACTGTACTCACCCACTTCGAGGATCTTTCAATCTAATCAAATACGTGTTCTGGTGGTGGTGGTGGTGTGGTGGTGGTGATGGTGATGGTGATGGAGGTGGTGGTGGTGGTGTGGTGATGGTGATGGTGATGGAGGTGGCGGTGGTGGTGTGGTGGTGTGGTGGTGGTGGTGGTGGTGGTGGTGGTGGAGGTGGAGGTGGTGATGGTAGGAGAGTGAATCCTAATGTAAGTTATGAACTGTAAGTGAAAATGTGCCAGGGTATATTTATCTATTGGAACAAATAGAGTACTTTAGAAAGGGTGCTGTTAGTGAAAGAGACTGCTACTAAGTGATAGTAGAGAGGTAGGCACGTTCTCCGTACTTTGTGCCCAATTTTGTTTTGAACCTAACACTTCTCTATTAAAATGAAGCCTACCGAAAACAATATTTTTAGTCTCACTTTATTTGAGACAGGATCTGGCAACTGTATTCCAGCTTGGCTTGGAACTCATGATGTAACCCAGGCTAGCTTTGAAATCAAGATCCACCTGCCT